AAAAAAAAAAAAAAAAAATCAGCCATCTATTCTACTTAGCAGATTCACTCTTTGCCTTCTCTCTGTGCCTTTACACAGAGTTGCTTTTGAGTGGAATATTCTTTCCAGAACACAAGATTTGGCAGGAGTTTGAAAATTTCAGTCTTTCCATCTCTTTATCGTGCATCATTCTAGAAAAGAATAAAGATTTATTTCCCAAGCCGGGCATGGTGGTGCATGCCTGTAATCCCAGCACTTGGGAGGCTGAAGCAGGAGGATCGCTGTGTGTTTGAGACCAGCATGGGCTACATGTTGAGTTCCAGGTCAGTCTCAACTACATAGTGAGACCCTGTCTCCCCCCCAAAAAAAGATTTATTTCCCAGCTAATAATTGTAATGTCATAATGTCATAATTATCTCTACCTCTGAAGTGGCCATAGCTTTTAAGTAACACTTTTTTTGCATTCAACAAACTTCTAGCAAGTGCTTCCCTGGGTTTGCTAAGTCACTAAGTCACATAAATAGGCTGGAAGTGTAAAGATGCTCCCCTTCCTTTTCTCCCTTGCCTTCCACCCTTCCATGTTTAGCGCATTCCTCCTTCCTATGGTATGGGACATCTTTATCTGGACCTCTCCTATGAGGCTGTATTATGAATATTTATTTACTAATTTTGTCATCCTTATTGAAATATAAACTTGTAGAGGTGAAATCAGTTCCCGCTCTGAAATTTCAATCTAGCTCAGTGTCTGACAACATAGATTTTGAAAACATCCATCCTATTACTGTGGAAAAATGAATGAATGCGGAGCTGCAGATGGCCCCTCAGTGAACTGGACAAGCTTCCAGGGGAGTAGTGTACAGTACGCCTTTTTCACTTCTACCAATTTTAAGCTCCTGCTTGAATCAATAGGCAACTATTTATTTACTGAAGACCTACAATGTGCGAGGCACAAGGAGGGCTCCAGGACAGATTGTTTAAAAATTATGTCTGTTGCCTCTCTAGTTTCCTGCCATCCGAAAATAACTTCCAGGTCACTTATTTCTATTTGTTTTTGTGGAAAGGCTGAAACTGAGAGGTGCAGAAATCAGTGAAAATACTCAGGGCTGTCACATCTACATCTGGGGTTTTGCACTGCCAATTCACATTTCCTGAATGAGTTATTTCTATGTCCCTTCACAGCATCCAGCACTGCAGTGCCTCGCATATATTATATGCTCAGTGAGTACTGGTCAACTGATTTTTATACAAGCCTGTATCAACATAAATGCATTATAAAAATGAGGAGGTTGGACGCTGCAATAGCCAGATTTTTTCTTTAAAAACTCGTCACAGTGGCATTAGACTTAAAGTTCAAATATCCCTGTACCCTGCCCTGTAGTATCTGTAACCAGGGTGATCTGATAAGATAGTTGAAGTTACAGTTAAAGTGTAGTTAACAACCTTTGCTCCCTCTCTACATTCACAAGAATTCGTAGCTTTTAGGTGGCCCACACAGATTACTTGCTGTGGAGCTTTCAAGAGCATAGAATCATCTTTTTCACTTCCAAAAGAAGATGCTATTTAATTTTAGGATGCTGTTGAACAATGCTACTCTGAGAAATGGTCACAATATCATGGTTCGAAATTTTCGGTAAGCGATGAACAGAGTTGGGCTTGCTTTAGGAATCGGGATGATAAATGAAATTGCACTGTGTAAAGGGGAGCTGCCACAAAAGGCCTCATTCTGTAGGGTTAGTGCCACAGTCTGTCCTTATGTGAGACTTCTGTCTCTAATTCCAGCTTAACTTTTGTTTCTCAGTCCTTCTGTAATTTGATTTTATTGTGCACAGTTTGTGGGGGGGTACACTAACTGTGGCAGGTACTGATTAAATATTCTTGATATGTTCCATTTGTGTACATTCTAAATGAGCTGAGAGAAATTACAGGAATGAATTTACACAGGGCCTTCAGCTTGTATTTGACTGTGACAGAAAACAGTGCATCACTCTATGGTGTTGGAAGAAATCTATTCTATTGATAAAACAGACTCCAGATAGCAACTAGGTAAATGTTTGCAAAGCTGGTACAGAGGAGCCTTATATGTTGTTATGGTTTGAGTCCAGATGTCCCCCCAAAGCCTTATGTGGTCATAGGCTGGATCTAGAGTATGTGAGGCTGGAATTGATTCATGCAATGCTAGGCTCAAGGGCACCAGGATTAAGGGTGTGAGTGTTTCCTACCCTAAGTAGTCTGAATAAGATAAAGTGGGCAGGGAGATGCTGTTAAATTCCTTTTGTTATCTTTTCTACCTTGTGTTTGTCATGTTGTTTCTGCTCTGTCATGCCTGTTTGTCATCCCTGCCTTGGACTCAGCCGATTAAGGACTGAAACCTCTACGAAATATAAGCCAAATAAACTCCTTGCCTTCTAACTTTGGTGTCTCAGCAAAGAGAGAAAAGTAACCACTTCATTATAAAAGCATAAATTCTGCATATAGTCATGCTTATGACCACATGCATGAAATTGGCATGGGCTGTCAATAAAGAAGGGTGAGGAGAGATCAGTTAGCTGAGTAAGCAGGGTCAATAGATTCCCATATCATTACCAGAAAACTTCTAGAAGACAATCAGATACAATTTTTCTAGACCCTCTTTACAAAATTTAAACCAAGCTCAAAACAACCCTTACTTTCTAAAGGTGAATAGTGCTTCACCTATAAAATGAGCGAAAGGATAATACTTGCTCTGGCTACAGTATAGTGTAGTATACAATTATTCATTCAAAATGTAGTCATCAAGTACCTACTTTCTGCTATGTCCTATGCAAGATGTTGGAGATACAGTAGTAAATAAGGAAATGAGATATTTCATTCCAGCCACATGAAGTCACAGTCTGGTGATAATCAATGAGATAATGTGTGTGAAACCTGTAAAGTAAAAGACTTTGTTTATTTTATTATTCCATTCCACTGAGTTACATCGGATAAAAAGTATCATTAAAATTCATTTCATGGTATTTAACAAAGAAAAATCACTGAGTTGTAAATACTCAAATGAATGAATAACCGCAACTTGGAATTTAAATTTATACTCTTCTTAGAAAATTAAAATGATATTTTTACAATTATTGTAGGTTAAAATTTGCAAGTAAAACCTTTTTCAAACAGTTGGGCTTTTTTGTTAAGCTATGCTAATATTCTCTTGTCTATATCTGGTAACCAGACTATATATCTGAAAATCTTGGCTAGGTATCTGTCAGTGGGCCAAAATATGGTTAAATCAGCCCACACTTGTACTTACTGTTCCGAAAAAAATGGAAGTCTCAAGTCATTCAGGTTGTAAGAAACTCAATAGTACATTTCTATGGAAAAATAACCTTGAAATGGTTTCAACATGTGACATGGGTATTTTTCTTTCCTACTATACTATTTAATCATGCTACCTGCCACCTAGATGAATTCAAAATTATGGACCTTTAATAAGACCTTCAACCTATGATAAACTCCCTCAACAACAGAAAAAAAGCTTCCTGTCAACTCTGTATTATACTTTTACTTTTATTTTCAGCCTTCCACTAAGATTTGAGTTCTTTTCACTTTTTCAACTCTTGATAAAAGTGGAGGGCCTTTGTTACACAACATACTACATACGTTTACTACTGCAGCGTAATATGAAATACATGGTTAGGGTTTGGCAGTACCACAAAACAGGGACTTTTGGAGTGAGTAGCCATATTGGCATGGACATGATCAAATAACAGCTGAAGGGAGACTGAAACCATCTACTCAAGTCCCTGATTTGTAATCAATTAAATTTCTTATACAAAATCAATAGGCTCAGACACCAAGACTGGTGAAAACACCCAATCCACAGGTTTTCCATCTCACAAATAAGGCTCTGGAACCTGCTGTGTTTCAATAATAGTGTCCCATGATTTTTTGCCTATTAGGGAAACCACTTAGAGCTTTTGAAGAAATCAGTAAAAGATCTCTTTCTTTATCAGAGAAGACCAATTTGTAAGTGCAGTTCAATTTCATCTCACAAATAGAAATTCCTGCAGAGAATATTGAGCTAAGCCACTCAATTTTGTGGAGGTTATAGATTGGAGCTGGAGGTGACTAGTTTTTAGGTGTTTCATTCCAGACCTTTATAAGAACTCACATAATTCATTATGTTCTCTTCATCTCATACACATGCCCATCCATGTACACGCAGGCACACAAAACAATTGCAGGTCATCTGTGCTTTTATAGAGAATAGTGCTCTTTGATTATTTATATGTATATCAAACTTAAAATGAATACCTTTAAAAAACATATCTTAACTTGACCTCAGAAAAGCATACAAGACATAATACTAGGATGGGAATGTTGACATAATGTTTTCTTTGGCTAACAGTAGAATTTGTACCCAGTCTGTTGATTTTAGTAATTTGGTAATTTGACTAAAATAAAAGAAGCCACATGTTTTCAGCCCTTTAATAATAGGTCTGCCCAAAGTTAGTCCTCATCTGAATTCTTTAATTTTCAGACTAAGTTCCACAATTTTAGAACACTGGTGATTTAAGGTATCTTAGAAACAGTCACTTGGTTTTCAATAATAATTACGTTGTATATGAGTATGTGGCAACAGTAAGAAAGGTTTCAAATACATTTTTATTAAAATTATTTTAACTGCTAATAATAAAGTAAATTTGTAAAAGATTTGTGGATTTTTTTACATTTATGGAATCAGTTCAAGATTTTTGTGAAAAGTTGTTCTCCCTTACTTGTTTCCTAATGTGCCATTTTTGAAAAGGAAAGATAGGGATGAAATTAAAGTTAGGCCACTGAGAATTCAGAAATCTTGTGTTTTTAAAATTCAAGTGTTGTGGAAGACAAATACATGGAAAATCACTGGAGTAGTTTACTTTCTTAATTTTTTTAGATGGTGAGTTAAAAGCAGAGATGGCAAATGGCTTTCCCTAGGTCATAGTTTATTCCTAAATCTGGGCTGAACTAAAACTATAATTCAACTCTGTAAAGTCACACCTGTTTTTATTCCCCTCCTTTGATTGCTTTGATCTCTCTGAATTGATTAAGTTGGCCAATCTACTGTTAGTATTCATTTTTAGGTATAGCCAAAATATCTCAATTAAGACAAAAAAGCAAAAATATGCCTTAGCTCTTGTGTTGATTCAAGGTTAAAGAAACATCAAAATCTCAGCCTTAAGGCTAATTGACTCTGTCTGATACCTCCAGAAGCTAAAGTCTTTATCTCAAATTCTCCTTGGGGAGCAGAATATCATTTAACACTGATATTTTTCCTGCTCTGTCAAAGTCAGTTTCTGACTGACCACATTTTACTTGAATTAAGCATCTTTTTCTTCCAACAAAATACAATTATACCAGAGAACATAGACAAGTCTCCTCCATCCCCCAAACAATTCCCAGGGTTGGAAAATGCAGACTCCAGCCATGAAAGATTTCATTTTGCTAATAGTGAATATTTTCTAGCTAGGAAGATATTTGGGCAAAGCTAAAATAAGAATCTAGTATTACTCTGGCTTAGCTTTTTAGCATTCAATGATTTGGGGTTAAGTAATCTCTATAATTATTTTTTAAGGTGTAAAATTAATATAAAGAACCAATCGGGCCTTTTTCAAAGACTTTGGCTCTAACCAGACCACAAATGATGATTTTTAAAAATCTTTATTTTATTTTTTGATTGACATATATAATATTTGTACATATTTATGAGGTACAATGTAATGTTTGGATTCACGTATATTGGATAGTGATTGATTTGGGGTAATTAGCGTGTCCATCACTTTGAAGTTTTGATGGTTCCCATTGTTTTCACCAATAAGCTAGCCTCCCTATTATGTGTGAGCTGAAGAGTAACAAATGTGGTTTAGGTCTGGTTTACCAAGACCATTTCTTGTTTACTCCTGGCTTATTTCTTGTACAGGTCAGTACAAGAAGACCCAAGGATTTTATAGGAAGGATATAAAGTAATGATTTTGGCCCTGGTTCTGGTGCCCATGAGCCAGTGTAGACTGTCTGTAATTGTAACATGAGGTCGCTATAGGAATTTAATATCTTTATGCCAGAAGCTTTTTCTGGCTTGAGTGTAGATTTTTCATGCTTGAAGCAGAAAAAAAAGAGGCTTATATCAGTGGCATTTCAACAGTCCAGTTGTGGAGTTCTACTTTTCTCCAATTCTTGTGTAGCTTAGGAAAGAGGTGTGGCAGCTTCATTTTGGAGCCAAGGGGAGGTCTATGAGAAGATAGTAAACAGGATAGGAATTTAAATGAGGACTATTGTGTTTGCTTTCCTTCCAGTGATAAATTTTCCTGGTTAGTTCTTGATATCTATGAAAAACAACTCTTTTTCCCAAGCTAACATTTCCTGCCCCTCCTCCGAGATAGAATTGAGAGAAGTGATGACTACTCTAATGATTTTTCAATGGTGGTACATTTAAAAATATTTTTCTGGTTAATCACTCAAGCCCTCACACATTAGTGTGACAAGATGTACAATATGTTCTCTCTACCCTTTTGTCACCATGAACAAACAGGGTTTGTGAGTCACTATTCCTTTCCCTTAGCTTGGCCTTCATGGTACTATGGGCAAATGGGACCACTCGTTCCACTTAGGCTTCTCTCCAGTTTT